ATAAAATGTAAGAACTCAAAGTTAAATTTTTCTTTTTATTATTGCCCATTCAGATTTCATTTAAACAAATTTGATGATTTGAATGGGTAGTGAGTGATGCTGAATTTTTTAATGAAATTATATATATTTAATTATCATCATTATCATCATCATCATCTTCTGATTTTTAAATTGCAAATATGGGAGTTACATATATATAAATTATTTTTATTTTTAAATTGAATTTATGATATAATATATATATATATATATATTCTTAATAATAATTTTCAATTTAGGATATTTTATTTCTCAGAATATTTGCTTGATTAAAATTGATTCAACTTTAACTTCTATCATCATAATTAGTTAATATATATATATATTATGTATTTTTGTGTATACAATAAATTCCTTAAGTATATTGGTCAACAAAAATTCCTCAAGGATAAAAAATTCAAACAATAATTTGGATCTATTATTAGAAGCATGGCTGCGAAGTAGTGATAACTCCAGATGAATTATATATTATTCCTCTTCTCTCTTAAATCCAAATTTAAGGTCACTAGCATCCAATAATATAATAAAGCGACGTCGTTGATGAGCAAAGCCAGTAGTGTGTTGACATCATTGATGATTATCATAACATGCAGCAGTAAACTCCACAAAACCGTAAAGTTTTTTGAAAAGTAAAATAATTAACAAAATTCAATTCACCCGCCTAGCTTGGGAGCCATGTTTTGAATTTTGACTCACCCAACAACGATATCCTTGAACACCATACACACACACACACAGACACACTCCTATATGCATATAAATGCATCAGCATCGGCTTCTTGCATTAACCAGAAAGCTCAAGTTCTACAGCTTGTTTTCATTTAGGAAACTGTGTTTTCCTATACAGAATTAATAAACTCGTATGGTATATTCTCTCTCTTTGTCATAGTTCTGCGGTATTATTATTCTTGGTTCACAAAATAACTTACCACTGAAGAAAAATCATGCAGGTAGATAAGACACCATCTAATAGCTAATATATATGGAGAATCAATCATCATTTGCAATGACAGGAGGAGAGGGTCCTCACAGCTACGCTCAAAACTCTTCCTTTCGGGTATTAAACTTGTACTTTTAACTTATATACGATGTTAATTAATGGCACATCAAATTCATATGCCATTGCCTCTTCTTCTCAATAAACTAAGCTTCTGCTGCATACTGGTAATTTCTTCACATTTTAATACAGTGACATGCGCGCACGCACACACACATATGTATGATTGTGCGATGTGATTTCAAACTTATCATTTAATTATATTGCGTGTCTTTTTTCTACAGGGAGAAGTTTTTGAAGCTAACAAAAAACTGATTGAGGAAGCAATAGTCAAGAACTTTGATCCCATGACATACATTGGACCTACAAACGTCATTCGGATTGCTGACCTTGGCTGCTCCACTGGGCCTAATGCCATTGTTGCAATGCAAACCATAACAGAATTGATAGAAAAATAATATTATTACAAAACTCAAAGCTTTCTGCTCATCAAATCCCAGAATTCCATGTCTTCTTCAACGACCAAGTTTCAAATAACTTCAACACATTCTTCAAGCAGCTTCCTCCAAATAGAAACTACTTCGCTTCTGGGGTTCCTGGCTCTTTCCTTGGACGCTTATTCCCAAAGAAAACTCTCCATTTTGTCCACTCATCTTCAACACTTCATGGCTTTCTAGGGTTCCTAAAGAGATTGCAGATAGAAGCTGCAGTGCATTTAACAAAGGAAGGAGTCATCACGTAAATGCTCCTAAGGAAGTAGAAGATGCGTATTTAGCACAGTACAGAGCTGACTTGGAGAATTTTTTGCATGCTGAGCGCAAGAGCTTGTGAGCAATGGGCTAATGGCGCTTCAGATCGCTACTGTGCCTGATGTGATTCTCGAATCTGATATACATCCTTCTAGGGCTTATGAGCTTCTTGGATCTACTCTCATGGACATGGCTAGAGTGGTAATTGAGAAGCCTTTAACCGTCTGAATTACTTCTCTAATCTTCATGTCATGCACTTTTATCAGAAATTTCCCATATTACTTTCATTAAATATGAAAGAAAATACGTTGTTAAAAGTATGTATATTTAATAAAGTCAAAGATAAAAATTTATTAAATATGTTGGAGATGATTTATAAATAAGAAAAGAAAGAGAGAACTAAAATCTGGCTCACATGGATGATGATGCAGGGACGAGTGGGTGAAGAAAAAGATTGACTCACTCAATTTGCCTCTCTTTTATTCACCTGCAAAGAATCTGAAGGAAATCCTGGAGAAGAATGAGAGTCTCAGTATTGAGCGGATTGAGACACTGAAAGTTGAAGAATTTTATTCAACCCCAAAAGCCTCCAACTTTGTCTCCATGTTACGAGCTTTCTTGGGAGATCTGATTGAGCAGCACTTCGGACGTGGAATTGTTGATGAGCTTTTTGATCGCTTCACTCAGAAAGTAATAGAATAGAATTTCCAGATATCATGAATCCGAAGAAGTTAAAACTAGTTATGCTCTTTGTTCTCCTAAAGTGTAAGAATTAATGAGCTTTATTAATTATATATAGTAATAGGAAATTCATAAGTTATTGTAGCTTGGTTGATTTGCGTATTGACTAGAAAATAAGTATTTTTTTTTTTTCATTTCTTTCCTAGCTGGAACTCTGTTAAATCCAAAGATCAATGATCACTGGGCATGATTCATATTATATATTACAATTCAATAATGAGAAAAAATATTTTAATTCATTATATGTTAAACTTTTTAAGACTCCACTCATTACTAGTAGTTTCTTGAATGGATTAAAAGCACCACTGAAATTCTATATGGAATTAATTAAAGACACATGATTCAGATCTGTAATGTTAAAATCATAAAATTAATAACAGTTTCGGAAACTTAAAAAAGGGAATAAATTGGTGAAATGGATGCACAGATATTTATTGGGGAGAATCATATCAAGGAATTTGTGAAGAATCAATATGAAATAGATTGTTTTTTTTTTTCCCAACTGAAATAGATTGTTGTTAAAATAAGAATATAATTTTTTTTTGAATGATTACTTATTACTTATATTTGTCCTTTTCTGCAAATAATATTCTTCACATATCCTTAAATGTGATCCTCTCCCTATTTGTTATTGAAAGTCAAAACTGTTATTAAAGCAAAGTCAATACTCAATTGTGCAATGACAAATTAAAGCGTACGCGATGCCACCATAAAACAATTATTAATATATATATATATATATATATATGTATATGTATGTATGTATGTATGTATGTATGTATGTAAACAATTAAGCCCGATGCCATGATGCTTGTCCATAACACGACAGAACACAATATATCTTAACCTAGCTACGATTTTAACTGGGAGATATCGACACGATTTATTCAAATATTTCTGCAAGCTCTACAATATCTCCACAACTCATGCATGTCCTCTCTTATCCCTTTTTTTTTCTTTTTTTATTATTCTTGTATTAGTATAATTTTTTGTATAGATTATATATATACGTACACACACATGACACATATATATGATGGATGTGTCCGTGGCTGCTTCATCTTTTTTGTTTTTAATGTATAAAGGAGGCCGCTTCGTGGACTGCTTCGTCTATTGAGCACAGCGCTGAAGACGCACCCAAACTCCATCGAGTGGTAAGGCGTTCATGGCTGCAAGAACCTTGGGATTGAGATTGATGAGTTGCCATTTGAAGAAGGTGACGACGTAATGAAGATAAATGAGCATTTGAAGCTTCGCAAAATCTTTTCCAGGGCAAATTCTTGGACCACCTCCAAATGGCATATTCAAGAATGGTGGAATCTCACCCTCAAACCTTGTTGGATCAAACTTGTCTGGTTCTGTAAATATTTTTGGGTCTTTGTTGATCGAGCTCACCGTCCAATACACCTGCCTCACCCACAAACCAAACGTATTATGTGCGTAAGGAAGGAGATATTATATGGGGTTTTCGTAATGTAATTACTAATAGTGTGGTATTAAGAATTATTTCAATTTTATGACAACTTTAATGTCTTAACAACACTTTCTGATATGCATGAATTAGTTGAAATTAACTTATTCTACCTCTATTCTACTTCTTTTAGTTCAAAATATAAGACATTTTTAATTATAATTCAAATACCAATAAAATCCATACTTTCAATTATAAGTATCATGAGTTTTTCTTTCTATCCTTTTCTCCAAATAGTCAATAATAAATTAAATGAGAGGAATAATATTTTTTTAATGAAATACGATAACATGAAAAACATAATCCTCCTTGCAGACTAATAAAGTTTTGCCTATCATAAAGAGTAAGAAAAATATAATAAATATCAATTAGGCTACATAACAAACCAAGTTAATAAGTATAAGGGTTAAACAAGAAAAAAATTTCAAAACCTACTAAGTGTCTTTTTTTTTGAACCAAGGTAAACTGAGAAAAAATATTTTATAATTTGAAACAGAGGGAGTAATATATAATACATTTTTAGATAAAATCATATATACCAATAAAACTCTTTAAATATATTTTACAACCTTATTTTTTAAAAAAAAATATAAACCTAAAAAAATGTCATTCATTTAATATCTCATTTGTAAAAAAAATTGAAAAGGCAATGTAATGAGAAGATTAATATTAAAAAAATATAATTAATGAATCTTATTTTTATTATATTATTCTGTATTTTGAAATGTCAAATCTATTCAGATGTGCTCTTATAAATTGTGACACTGAGAGTGTTACTTTCAAGAAAAGAGAAACCATATATCTTACTAAGGTTAAATCCATCCTATGGAAACATGTCACATCAAGACAAGTCTGCTTATATCCCACGATCTAAAAACATGCATGTTAGCTTGTCGGACGGAAAAAAAAAGGGGGGGGGGGGGGGCATGGATTTGTTCAATGAATCTGGTTTCATGATAATATAATATTGGACCCTACCTTCCAGCCTTTAGGAACAGTGTAGCCGTCATATGTAAAGTCAGACATGGCCTCTCGGAAGGTCCCCTGAAGAGGAGGGATCACTCTCATCACTTCCAACAACACATTCCATGAATACTTCATCCTCTGTATGTCGTTCAGGCTCAGAGTATCTCCAGGCTCTTTAGATGCTGCAATCTCCATTTGCTCTGCTTTTAATCAGACATCAATTACAACCGAGAAAAAGGAATCACAAACAGATTTTATACACACGCACACACCCCACGTACGTACCATCTCTGATCCTTTGGTAAACTTGGGGATTTTCTGCCAAGTATTTCATGGCGAACGTCAAAGCGATGCATGGAGAGTTAAAAGCTGCTGTAGTCAATCCCATAACTTTATCAGCAACTTCTTCATCTGATCTGATTTTTCCGCTCGGATCTGCACTGACCATCATGTACGACAATATATCGGTTGGCATCTCACCTTTGGCCAGTCTCTCTCTCTTCTCATTCATCAACTTCATAATCTCATTCATCACAGCTCTCTTCCCCTTCATAGCCCGACCAAACGTAGTCCCTGTAATTATATTACAACAATGACATGATATGATATAAATAATTGGTTTAAGGATTAATGGTTAAAATCATAGTCAAAACATGATCAGAACACCTCGTTAATAGTGTAAATGCTAAGTTGACTCAATTTTCAATGTTATGAACACGTATGACTTGGTTACTGCTGATGATCAATTGGATTCCTTCCGTCCCATTTACAGGACATTGTTCAATTGGTGATTTGGTGTCATAAAATATAAGAACTTCTGTTGATACAAGTGCTGTGAAAAGAGGAGAGACTACTGGGAGTGGAGAGCAAACAAATAGACAAAGAATAATAGAAAGAGAAGCCATCTGAACTCAAAATTTTAAAGTTAAGTTTATAAATCATTCTCCTTTATTTTATATTAATTATTAAGTTCAAGACCACCCACATTTACACAACTTATCACATGTAATTTTATCACAAAAATATCTTATAAATTGATACGGATGAAGAACTAATTACCAGGAATCTCATACGGGAGAACGTGGAGGCCTTGAGCGATATGGCCGAACCACTTGGCCATCTTGGCCACACAATCAAGATCTTGGAGGCCCATGAAGAGTCTTGTGGCTATGCCCACTGTGAGAAGCTCGAGAAGGCTAAAAACCTCAACCTGTGATTTCCCGAACCAGTGCGTCTCAAAGTGATGCTTCGTCACACCATCCATGACCGAAGCATAAGCCACCAGAGCTTCTTGAGTGATGAACACAGGCGCACGAACCAAATGGATCTCGGATTGGCGTGAAACGATGGAGTCACCTGTCGGCATCGCACCTGTTGACATATATATATATATATATATAGGACACACAAATAATTAACCCAATGTTTAGACAAAAATAACGAAGTTGATCTTCAGAATATGCAGAATATACACACACAAACATATAATTACTTTGAAAGAGCTTTCGCGTGGCGGTTGGGCGCCATGCGGTCATGAGCTTTCCTTCATTAGCAGCGATGAATTTGTGGCCGGAAGGACCACAGAGGACGACGGTAGGTTGGCCGTAGAGATGGGTTTTGAATATTTTGGAAGAGTAGTTTTGCATTCTGCCACTTATGAACTTATCGTGGTTGGAGAAGATGAACTCGTAGGTTTCTCCGATGAAGGGCCACCCGAAACTACCAGGTGGAAGGTTCTTGGATTTTCCATGGGACTTTGCGTTGTAAACAAATAGGGAAACCAGAGTGAAAACGATGACACAAATTGAGAACAAGAGAGGCTCCATTACGTATAGTGGTTCTTGAAGTCGAAAACTTAGCTCCATAATTATATAGAAAGTAGTGATGCATTAATTCTTAGATGCCATAATATACAATAAAATAAAATACACACACACGGCACTCACATCCAATTAATTAAGCTAGAATTAGAAGTCAGCCAAATATATAAATAATTGATATATATATATATATATGTATGTAATCCACTAATGTGATTATTAATATTTGATCATCTAGACAAATACACTCATTTAATGAGTATCTCAATCATAGATTTTAGTAATACTTGAAAATTATTGAGATATATTTAGATCTGAATTCGGTAACTGTAATTAATATAAACATTGAGTATATGCATCATCAAAATTATTAAAATTCATATCAATAATTTTAAATTGATATTTTATTACTTGATATTAATAAATGAATGAGTTTATTTGAATCATTGATATATATTTCAATGATTTAGATGATACAGATACTCAGTGTTTATAATTACTAAATCCAAATCTAATATATTTTCATCCAATAAATTTAAAACAATTTTCATGATCAGAATACTCCTTACACATGTCATTCCTTTCAAAAATAATGGGATTTAGTATTTTATGAATAACATATGACAAAATTTCTAACAACTATTTGACTAAATCAAATAATTATTATTATGCCACGTGAGATACTCATTGAGTAAATTAACTTAGACTACTCATCGGATTCAAATCCATTTATCTTATGCCCATGTTAGTAATTTTATGCCAGAGAAGAATAGTATGTATAGAGGTACATTACAGGGGAAAGATTATTACCATCCAGTGGATTAATTTATGGACGACGACGAAGTTGGTTAGGGAAATTTTTCAAGTGCATTATTAAGCGACCGTCCCAAGTTTCAGAAGGTATATGTGACGACCCATCGCAACTAGCAATTCATTAATTTAACAAAAACTTTAAAAAATATTTAAGCCATTGGAGAACCAGGTTATTATTTTTTATAGTAATAACTAATATTATTATTCTTTGTCTTTGATGTTACTCTCGTAGACTTTTCCATAATATGCATGCAAGTGGCAATAAGTAACAAGAGAAGTATAAATAAATGATCGAAGAACGCGTATCATATATTAGTTCTTTTTTCTTGTTTTGGTCAGACAATCATATATTATTTCAATAGATAAATCATACAATTGTTTCACATGTTTAAATAATTTTGAATAATTGTTGTCAAACCCCCAATTTTGTGAGAATCTTTATTTTTATGAGACGTAAATAGTACTTTCCCCTTATATATATATATATATATATATTTGGATTGAATAGTCCATGTAACCTTTAAAAAAATAAAGAAATCAGTTATCACTTGACTTTGGATAAAATGATATAAAAATGTCAATAGAAATTTTTTTAACTAGCAATAAAAACCCCTAACACAATTGATATAAATTTATGTTTCATAGCTAGAAGAAAAAGAAATAAAAATGTGAAATAACTTGAATATACCATGACTTAATTAAAATATATATATATATATATATATATCATCGGGCGAAGCCATGATTTTTAGTTTAGAGGGACCGTGATTACAAAACATATATGATAATTGAAGAATATATATATATATATATATACTATAATATTATATAACATAGATATTTTAACATATTCACCATCAATTTTATAAATATATAACCAAAATAAATATGTATTTTCATTTTTTATGTTTTTCCTGTCAATTCATGATATAAAATCATCAATTAATTATAATATTTGCAATAAAATTTTCAGCTATTTTCTTTTCAATACAAACCATTATTAAATTGGTGAAAAATTATCTTCCATGTCTTTTTTTTATAATTTGTATAGCTTAAAATGTCCATCCAATGGTTGCCGTTCACAATAAAAGAGTTGTACAAGCCCCAGTAATATGTCAATCAAAGAATTAAAATTTAGATTTTTCAATCTCTACAAACTTTTGACATAATTTACTTATAATAGTTAAGTCATGAAAATTAAGATCTTTGGGAATATCAAGATCATAATGTTATAATTCATATTCCAATGGAATCTTTCTTGATTGGAAAATCTAGAGAGTAAAATTTCTCAATAAGATTGCAGATATTTTTAGTATTAAATGATTTAATAAATACATTTTTAAGATTCAAAGTTGTACACTCAATTTAAGAAGTTATATTGCTTGTTCACTTAATCTAATTTTTTTTTCAATTAATAAACTATGACAAATGAAATATATAACACAATAATGATACTCAATTGTTACATAAGCTTTTTATCAATGAAATCAAATTATATCAAAGTATAAAACAATTCATAAAAAATTTCAATAGCTTGGTTGTTACAAAGAGGAGTAACTTTTTCTATAAGACTATGCCCATTATAATCTCTTAACTTTTAAATAAATGATTATTAAAGTTTAGGTAATTAAAGTTAAAGTTTATTGGTATCAAATATACTTGAAAGGCCAAAAATATATAAATTCTATATTTTACTAAGAAAAATTAAAAAATTAGGAGGGTTGCAACTCCCCTTGATCCCTCGTTATCTCTACCATTAAGGTAGACATAATAAAAAAGACTAACCTTTCACAATATAATTAGCAAAGGTTCAAATCCTTGTTGGGACTGTAATGTCTTGTGGTACACTTTGGACAAAATTTTCTCCATTATAGTTATAATTTAAATTTTTCAACATACATATGTTTGAATTTCCAATGCTTAGTTAATGAGGCTAGACAACCTTGTTATTAAAGCTATAAGCCCTTCCCAATTTTAATTTAAGAATCAGATTTATTTATTTTTAAATTTTTTGTTGCCAATAAGTATTCTCCTATTAAAAAATGATTTTTTTTGAGACATGGCAAGATACTAAATGTGAGCACTTCTTGACAGATATTTATTTATATATTTATTTTGAGGTCATGAAATTTTTAGTTTCGTGATCAAAATTATTTTCGACCGAAGGACTTTAATTTCAAACAAAATTATGACACGACTGACGTTGTGTATGTCTTCTTTTAATTTACCGAGTCTGCCTCAATGAATCTATTAACTTCAAATTATTAATTTATTAATTAATATGAAATAGATATGACACTACTAATTGATACACAATATGTAGAAAATACCAAAAATACTATCCTTTGGCTGGCATTAATGCAAGGACTGGTCATTGAAGAAGAAAAAATTGACTCATTCAATATTACTTTATCTTATCCACATTGTGGCTTCGTTTGGTATTAGGGAATAAGTTCTCATTTCATTTCTACACTTAGCAAAGTCTAAATGTATAATTTTTTTTTCAAAAAAAAAAGACATAGTCCAAACTCCAAATGCGGTTGTGTGTATTATATCAAGGATACAAACACAATTTAATAATTTCTAGGAAAAATTACAGATAAGTCCCACATAAAAAAAATTAATTACTAATAAATCTCTTAAATTTGACATATTATTAGCACGTCTTTAAAAAAATTTGTGCAAAAACAAGTATGATAAATTAATCAATTTTAAGTTAAACTACTTGTAAATATTTCCTTTGAAAGAAAAAAAAATCTTTCTTATATCAATCAATGTAGTCTCGAATTTTACACGCAAGTTTTATCCACAATAACAATGCACAACATGGTCAACTGGTGAGGTGGTCTTGCTAAAGCTGCCCCTCCAACAACAATCTTAAAAATCACTGTGCTAAACATTTACTGAACTTGATTTCCAGAAAAATGAAAACCAAAACCAAAACCTGTCTCCATAGTAACTTCAATCCATGAGCTGGGGCGGCAAAATCACCTAAATGTATTTACAAAAGAAATATACACCATTCCAAACTAAGAACAAACAGCCAATTAGCCAAAGAAGCAAGGCTCATGTTAATGAGTCTCCCCTCAGGGTCTGTGTTGTGCAATTATTGACGAGAGAACAACTTGTTGAGGGGTCACAGCTAATTGGAGATATACACACATAACACAAGTTGAATGCTTGGTCGGAGTGACTAGTTTTATCATATGGACATTGGAGAATTAGGAAATCCTTGGATTAATATAACAACCAGAACATGAGTAAGTTCAGAGTTCCATGAAACAAGTTTAACCAGCAAATGGAAATCCAAAAGAAAGCAAGCATGAGTTGGATATGCAAGCATACCTTCTCCTTCCATGAAAAATCAACCTCGCGGAAATATGGATCAAGCAGCGTTAGCTCATCTCTTTCCTTGATCTGATAAATAAAAGAAATGACCAATGAATTCCACTACTGATGTAAAATATCAATAGGATAGATAGCTCATTTTTCTTTCCTTTTCTTCTCATGCTTTGGGCTTAGATGACGTTCGCATTAATGGAGATAACTCTGACACAAAGGGTTTGTCAGCAATCAGTTCTTGATCTTATGGATCATCTAATAAAAGTCCATGCAGATCTACGGCAGTTACACACTACACTTTCAGAAAAGGAGTTGTTTGACACTAGTTGCACACTAACATTAGACATAAACAACACTTTAAATCTGATAAGCACTTCATATTTCTGTTGTGTCTGTGTCTGGCTTGCCACGTCATCTCAGCTCCGAAGCATGTGTACACTAAAATAAGCATATCATAATGTAGTATCTCTTTCTTAAACAATAGTATTTTACGATATACTGTGGCTAATAGGCTTCAAAAACATTAAAAGGATAAATAAGATAAAACTGCAGCAACAAACTCTTATCACATCTATATGTATGCCATAAACTGTAAGAACAAAGCAATTTTGATTTGATTCACGAAGCAAATAGTACCTGCAGAATAAAAAGAAAACAAGTTATATGAAATCAGAATTAGCATATAAAATTGTTGGCTCTCAAACTAGTTTCTGAGTAGTTTTCATGACTGCCCTACTACCATGGATCTAATGTATCCCAATGTGTATTTAATTATTTATTAATTTATCAACCCCGCGTTATAAATTTTTGTTAAATCAAAAATATTATTATAGCTTTGACTTTTAGGTTCAAGACAAAACAATTAT